ATGCAGTCATGACTCATGACTGTGAGTATATCATTTAGTTTATAATACTAATTAACAACACTATTGAACAATTGACCATGGTCAACCAATCATCATATAACCACTTGAATTGAATTTAATGATTCATTGATTAATATATAGATATTTAGACCAAACCTAATGTGAAGTTTGGATCAAAGTTTGACTCAAACTGTTTGACTGAAAACAAGTTTGTAATCAATTTGTTATTATTATATATAATGAATTTGAAGTGATATTTGTATCCATAGTTTGGTAATAAAGGGACCAAATGTGCGAATGGTGCCAATGTGTGCACATGTGTTGATATGACGTTCACTTCAACCACTATTGCGTTAACGACACGTCAAGTGATGACCATTGGATCAAATGATTAGATAATGTCGTGGTTTACAGAGAGCAAGAGATCGTTGATGGAGAGGATGGCCATCAATGTATTGAAATGCGGATCCATTCCAAGACACGTGGCGTTCATAATGGATGGGAACCGACGATACGCTCGACGACTGGATCTGTCGGCCATCGACGGCCATAAGCGTGGTTTTGAACGAATGACACAAATGCTTGAGTGGTGTCTGGATTTAGGTGTGGATGAGGTGACGGTCTATGCCTTCGCAATCGACAACTTCAGACGTCCGGCCGAAGAGGTGGACAAACTGATGGACTTCGCGAAAGACATGTTCGACAAGTTGTTGAACGATAGGCACAAACTGAACGAAACGGGAAAAGCAGTTCGTGTTTTCGGTGACTTATCTCGTCTAAGACCAGACATCCAGCGATTGGTGGCCGATATCGTGCTCTTCACTCAACACAATACTCGCAAAGTACTCAACATATGCTTTCCCTACGCATCCCGTCATGAAATCACTACTGCTTTACAAGAGTTGCAAATTTGTGTCCAAAACCAGATTATTGAGGAATCAGATATCACTGAATCTCTCATTTCTAACTTCTTGTACACCAGTCAGTCATCAGATCCTGACCTTCTGGTGCGAACATCAGGTGAAGTTCGTTTGAGTGACTTCTTGTTATGGCAGACCAGCTTTTCGGTGATCGCATTCGCGCCAGTCTTATGGCCAGACTTCACCATTTGGGACCTCTTCTCTGCCATTCTTTACTATCAGCGCAATTGTAGTTCAGCTAAGAGTGAACAGCAATTGCATGAATTGACACTTGGATTGACACAACCAATGGATCACAACAATCATACTGACCACTCATCCAGAAGACAACGCCTCACCAATTGTTTGCTTTATCTCCACAATAAACGCATCACTCAAATGACACGCATGTCATCAAATGGTAATCAAGTTGTCGAAGTGAACACTTGATCCAATCGTTGACACAATTATTGTTTTAATATTTATAACATTTATGAGAATAGTTTTCATTTTAAAAAATACAGTCAATTAAATTAATTGCAATTATGTTATGCTATATATTGTCAATCATTTAATTGGTGTTTCTTTAACCTTATTTTAGTTTTACATAAACCGATAATAAGCAGTACTTTTTGTCGGTATCTTAAGAGAAGTTTTTTGGTTAACTAACTCATGGCAATTAGTTTTGACAATCATATCGTATAGCGATTACACTGTAATTAATGGTTTTAATAATTATTATTACATTTACAGTTATATTCATATAAATGAAGACAAAGTGAGTTTAATTTTGATAACAAAATGTCATTAATATAAAGATATATTCAATTTGAAAGACTGTTTAGTCGCCAATTAGCTTATTATTGAAATGTTTCATTTCATGTGATATCAATAGGATTTTGTTATATTATATTACGTTATAGTAATACAGTATTCATTACAATCGACACAATTTACAATTATTTTGAGTTTCAAAACACTTAAACCAGATATGCTTTAATAAAAGAGTATTAATAATATGAATATTTGTTCCTCAAGTACATCATAATCCAAATATATATATTGTGGCTTTTGTTCATTTCATTTCATACAGTACACTCATTGTGTTCAATTAAATCAAATGCATTAATCTCATAATTATCATATGAACAAGCTCATTCAATGGACTCCACATTGATAATTATGATGAAAACAAAATAACAAGCATGCAAAAACAGTCAATAGCCAATACCGTATCTACAGTTCTAGTAATACTGTATTAACAGCAAAACAGTGAAAATGAAACCGACATTAAATGAAACAAAAAAGCGAACAAAATTGCTTTTATTATTCACAACTCATAAATAATTGTTTTCAATGGTTTGTCAAATATTTTCAGTCAATGATTTGGGGGAATATTCTGAAAGCAAACATTTCAGGCAAAAAAGATTATAAATAAATTTTTGTTTAAATTATATCTCATGACAAATAACATAAAGTCTTATCCATTTTTGATTGAATAATTAAAAAAGAGGACAATTGTTGTTGAAGTTGTTGAGTGTCTGTTGTCAAAGATCTAGAGATCAGGTGCGCCTATTTTAGGCGTATAGATCGAAGCGTTAGGATCTAATGGCGAAGTGTTGGATATCTTCATGTTATGGTCGTCTGTTAATGTGTGAAGATATTTGGTGTGATTGTGGTTATGGCTGTTGTGGCTGTTATGGTGTCCAAAGACTGGCAGCAAACTATTTACAAGTGATACGTTGTCGGCTAAACTCCCGTAACTGCCATTAGGTGTGGTCGGCATTACAGCCATCACTTCAGCTATTTTCGACTTCAACTCATCGATCTCTTTCTCGCGTTGAAGTAAAATCACTAAATTAGAAATAAATGCGATATAGTATGCCATCACAAATATAAGTACACATTGTTTACATCGAGTCATTTCTAACTGTCTTTTAGTCTCATCTAAAGCTGAGAACAAATCCAATTTAAGTCTCGTCTCCGCACTTAAGCTCTTCTCGAGATGTGAGTTCTTCTCCTGCATTGCAGACAGCGCTGACATGAGTACTTCGGCGTCAGTCGCAGAGTTCTTGTACTGACGTAGAGCCTGTGTGTCAACAGATGGTGTCAATCAAAATGTCACCAAAATATAGACAATATTCAATATAATGCTTACTTTTTCGCTTTGTTTTAACTGTTCATCTTTAAGCTTCAACTCGTGTTGCAGTTGTTTGAGATCGTTATCTAATTCGCGTCGCTTTGCTTTGCAGTTATCGGAACACTCCAAACGGTTTTGGGCGGCAATTTGGGCCGCTCTGGCCGCTACCTCTTCTGCCTTCTTAGCCTTCTTCTCGTTGGTTACCTGGAGTTCGACGTTTGCTTTGAGCCGTTTTTTCTCCTCATCTAAACTCTTTTCCAACTTAATGATAGTCTGTTTGTCGTGTTGTTTAGCGGTCACCAAATTGTGGAGTCTTTGTTGTAGATTCTCATTGTCCTGTCGTAGTTGTGACAACTCATTCTTCACAGACCTATCGTCCACTATAATCGAGTTTAATTGGGAGCGCAGGTCGAGCTCGCATTGACGCGACGCCTGGAGGTCCGCTTTCAAGCGCTTAATATCCGCCTCCAACCTATTGGTCAACAATTATGGCAATATGTGTCATATGTATAACAATCACAACTACAGTACACTGTATTGTGCGCTAACACCACATACCTGAGTGAATGGTCGTCTTTAACAGGCGATAAGTTGTTGGCGACAATATTTTTGGCTTTTTTAGTGCTATTAGAGGTGTTATTAGTGGTAGTATTGGAGATGTTGTTTGAAGAGCTCGTGTTTGACGTACACTGATTGCTGGCAACCGAAACATTAGTTACATTAACGCTATTTATATGATGAGTCCACTTATTATTGTTGGATGTCTGGTGTGATTGAGACACCGGTGGCGCTGAGGAAACACTCAGGTTTGTTATATGAGTGCCTTTCGGCGATTGTGTTAATGCTGTCATATTCTTCATGTGAGTCTTATTAGTGGTGTTGTTATGCTCTACAATATCCTCGACGTTGTCGTCGTTGTCAAAGTGATTGAGTGATGATATCTTTTTGATGATCTGATGCTCCATATATTGTAATTCATGTCTAAAACAAATTAAACAATACTTAGCAACCAATCAATACAACTATCAATTCAGTTAATCAATTCATTCAAATTCCAGATATAATCACATTTTGTAACAATACATATGTATATTCTTAGTATAGTATGTACAATATTCTTAACATGGTCATTTGTGTATCACAACAAGTTATTACTTTACCGGTAATCAACTATAACCAAATTTACCGTATTCTGTCACATAAACGCCCATGGGGTATTATGTAAGTTTCTTAGAGAGGGTGGGGGCTTACCTAGGTAATACCCCATGCTATTTTTACTCAAAAAAAGTCAAATGTAAAAAGTTTGATTAAAAAGATAGTAGTGTTTTAAAATACTAATACATTGTTAGAGATGATTAAATGTGTCTTAAATATATATTGTTTTAATTAAAATCTATAATTAATCACTGAATTTGAGAAATAAATGTATTTATTGCTATTAATATGAGATATCAACCCATGGGGTATTATGTAAGATTCTTAGAGAGGGTGGGGGCTTACCTAGGTAATACCCCATGCTATTTTGAAGTGTACCCGAGTCAGAGACCCCTCATTTAATACCCCATGGGCGTTTATGTGACAGAATACGGTACATACTTTGTGCTGTAATTACAATACGGTAATAATTAAATACGGTACAGATAAATGTGGATGTTAGCTATATCTGAGGTATACAAGGATATACTATACAGTGAAATGTTAAAGTGAAATGATTTAAAGGCTCGATATGTGTCCGAATTGGATTACATGACAGCAAACTAGTATTTGTCATACAAATTGTTGGCTCATAACAATAATAAGAGTAATCATGTATCATTAATTTGAATGCAAATAGAGGTGAATATAATAAGTGAAATGAATAAATCAATCAAATGGTTTATAATTACAATAAACATAATGAATGTCATACCTATCGATACCATTAGAGATAGACTTTTTGTTGGATGATTCGTATTCACAAATTAATTTATTCGCCGAACCATTGCTTAAAATCAGCGATTTGTCAGAATTTGTTGAACTAATACTCGACTTCTTTTGATGATTAGGACCGCAATGATTGACACCATTTGTTTGGATGAGTTCCGAGTCTTGAGGTAAACTGGGAGCGGGCGGTGGCGGCGACTCCTGGGGTAAGGCTTTCTGAATCAGTTCCAAATAGAACTCGTTTTCTTTGGCCACTTCTTTCTGCTTCCTTAACCTCATTCGGTAACTCACGTATGACTTGAAGCCAAAGCCCAACGTCACCACCGGATACCCAATACTGCAATCCATTCAAACCATTCAATCAATCATATCAATCACATCACATGACAATCACATACCAATGAGCAGCAAAAGGTCGGCACAGATCCAGATGGAAGGGTAAGTTCTTCAGTTCTCGGAGTCTAACTGACGCTTCTATATATACAAAGAGTAACCAAAGAGAGACAGTGGGCAGACATATGCCCCTCTCTGTGTGCCACACGTACTGCACCCACACGTAAGTACTGGCGGCGAAGAATAGCCAGTGAACCGGTATAAACAGGAAGCATATCATATCCGATGTCAACGCTATCAACACGAAGAACACTGAGAAAGCCTGTAATGGTTGACAAAATGGTTAACAATAGTGGTCATTGTGGTCATCACATGTCCGCTATTACCAGTCCTTGATATTTGAATGAGTCGTAAACACTCCTCAAGAGGAGCCAAAACGGCCACAAATACTCGAACCGAAACTCAACGATAAAGTCGGCCAAAAGGACTAAAGCCCACACCAACAGGAACTTGACGTATATCAACGGACTAGAACAAGACAACATGGTATCATCAATCATGGCAATGCAGTCATGGCAGTCATGGCAATCCTGACCAACCTTTGGTTCAGTCCATCAGTAATCTTGCTCTTCTTGTTGGCGCGCCTCAGTTTCGCTCCACACAACTCACCATTCCTTCTCTTCATCACAGATATGGCAGATATGGTCACCGAGTGATCACGCGATCAGTTGATCCCTTTCCACAGTCTTCACTATAATAACAGTAATAATCAATGAATGTTTGCAAATATATATACAGTATATCTGTTTCTCACAAATAATGGCAACCAATACTCCAAATACTCTATTACTCTATACTGTAATACAGTAGACATCATATCATATCAAACATCGCTATATATTTGTGTTACGCATGTCTTACCTCTATGTATATAATCACTATATAGTTAGTAGTGTTACCAGCTCAACTTTATTACCGGTATTACACTATCAAGTACTGTATATGCAAAGCCTTTACCTATACTTTATGAAACTCGGATTCTGGTGCCTAGACATGTGACATGTCAACTTAAATTATAAGACTAATTCAATATTTCCATATATACTCATTCATATGAAGGCCACTTCTTTTCCATTTATACGAATGTTAGACACTTCCCTACCTGTCGAATATATTCCAGGATTATATTTTTGGGAGGGAAGATATTTTATCTTTCTGAAAACAGCTGAAATAAGATAAAATGTGATCAAACGATTACTACTGTAGTCGATGTGTATTAAAATGAAATATAATCTCTCCCTTCTAATTGCCTGTCCCACTACATGCCCCTCATTCCTAACCCTTTGTCTTCCTATCTCTATAAAACATAAATTTTAATATTAAGCCCTAACACATGCTTTCTCGAGTCCATTTGATATAATTGATTTTCACCAAAAAATCAACTACAAGTGTCTCAATATAAATAGTTACTAAACGAGTTAAGTATTAATCTTCATTATGGCCTATTTCGGTGGTAGCCTAGCCTTAAATTGTAGATTAGGGTATACAAACAAATTGTTGTGAACTTTACCGGCTGATAGGAAGATGCATCTTAATATAGTTAAACATATTATGTCAAAATATTTTGTTAAATCTATTAAATTGATTTAATCAAAATGAATTTTTGATTCATTTATTGATCAAAACGTAAAAAGGTGCGCAATATTTGGACCTAATTAGCATTTATTAATACATTAGTTTCCATATTTTGGGATGCAAGAAAATACGAATCTTCCCAAAAATAATATTAATTTATACTAATACTTTCTAAATTAATTCAAACTAACAAATTATATTGTATATATGAGTTTCAGATTAATTAATTATATTACGGTAGTTATAATTGACGTTCCACACTTCCCTCCCAAGTAGAATATCCCGGAATATATTTTTGGTTTGGAAAATTATTTGTATTTCTGAAAACTCAGAAAATATTTTTAAAAAATGTGGTCAAACGATGACCAATCGATGGTTATAAATAATCTAGTTATTACAAATTCTACAGCTGTTATGTAGCAATAAATTAAGCAACATTTAAGTATCTAAATGTGACAATCTTATGGTGTTAATTACTATAATTATAAAGAATTAGTATTTGGTCACACTATTACATGTATTCAGTACTGTATTTGAAGAACTACTACAGTATAGCATTGTATAGCTGTGTAATGTAGTGAATGTGTGCGTCAGATGCAATGTTTGTGGTAGCCGTGAGTGGCGCTCATCATTCATCATTACTTTATATGATTCATTAAAGCAATTATAATTACAATTAACTAAACTATAACATAGATTATATGCTTTAATTAATACCACATTTAGAGGTCTTATTTTTTTAATGTGCTTTGTAAACAATGTAAAACATGCTGATCAAAATCAACCCAAAAATTGTACCCTCAGTTCTTTTATTAAAATATTTTGAAAATTACATTAAATGTTTTGTGCAATTGATTTGATTAACACAAACACTTGATTTCTATAATTAATAAACTGAATATTGAACATTGTAACAAATTTATAAACATTGCTTGAATTAAAGAGAAAACACATGTTTAGCAATATGTGAGCACACATTACATGTCGTCGTCTTCGGGAACGTCGAGATAGATGTCATACGAGTCGCGAAGACATGTGCCGTCGGCGTTGAAGTGGTACTTATGGAACGATCCGTCCACACAAATGGCATACACGGCTGCGTCGGGTCCAAAGGCGCAAATGCAGGCGCATTCGGCCGCTATCGTGAACTTAGCCAAAGCCCACTGCGAGTCCACGTATTGGTGCGCAAAGCCTATCGACGAGAAGGTCGAGCGCCGGTTCAGGTGAGTGTCTTTCAGGGCGAATATATGGACCGTTCCCTTATCACTGGACACCACCAGAAAGTCCGAGTCATGTGAGAATGCAATGCAGTAGAGTGTGGCCGGATCTGCACCTCTTCGCAGTTCCACCAGTTGTGTGCGTTTACTCGTGTCAAACACTCGGATCAAAGTGCCCTTCGTTGACGCCGTGGCCACCATTGTTCCCAACTTATTGATGGCCAGACATGCGATGTCTGATTGATGAGCACTGATGTTAATGGGAGGCGAAGATAGTCCGGGTTCAGTGTGTGTCAGGTCCAGCAAATGTACGGATCCCTTGCGATGACCCGGGAATACAAGCAATTGTCGCTCAGAACTGGTATATGGAGTCACTTCGCACAGACCTAACGGGTTGTCTCGCGTCTCAATTGAGAACAACTTCTGGCACTTCTGCGGGAAAGAGAAGCAATGGATTCGATGTCTTTCCACAACTATTATACGATCTCTGCGTGTCTTCACTGCGAGAACGGGTGAAGAGAAGGTTAATTCGAGGACAAACTTCTTGAGCGCGTCGTCCCAAATGAGAACCGATCGCTCGGAATAGCGCTGATTAGAGCCTCCGGCCACTAATGCCATCACATTTGTGCGATGAAGCAGTTGGCAGATCGCAACCGATCCCATAGAGTTGGGCTCTTCCAGGTTAGCCCTAACCATCAGCGGCTCTATATTGAAGATCTTCACTCCGCTGTCCATCGAAGCGGCGAACAGAGTGTGCTCTTCATTCATCGACAAACTCATTATCTCTTTGCGAGCCATCAAACACGTGATGCACACAATCGCAGCACAACTACACCAACACTAGTCGCACGACTACAACGCAGTCACGTATTCACCACTTATTCATACAATCTTTACAATCAAACAATCGCTCAAACAATCCCTTCATTCATGTATTCAACTATTTATTCATTAATATTATTATTGTATTTATAATTATTTCTAGTTATATATAATTATTAATTAAATGACAATTAATGCAAACAAAACACAAAATGAGACATTCATTAATGAGTAGTCGTTCACAACTGCTGTACTGTTGGTGAGGGGGAGGGGAGGGATACACGTTTGAGTACTGGATTACTGTTTGTCTTTGGATGCCATGTGTCTCATGAGATGAGTGGTAAGTTTGTCCACTTTCTTGATGTCGTGCGAGTGTTGCGTTGCGTACATAACACACACCGAGTTGTCGGTGCACTTCAGGACCAGCTTTCCGTCCGAATGTCTGTATTTCATGACAAACCGACACTTTGACGGCTCCGACAAATACAACAGTTCCGCCGCTTTCGCAAACTCTTCCCACGACTCCACGTACGGCATCACCACAACTGATCCCAACTCTTCAACTCCACAACACGTGTCAACCAATTAATTGCTATTATTATTGATTCAATCAATGATTCAATCACTCAATTGAGACAACACTTGTAGAGCTATTTGTGCCACAATTCACAACATCTCTCACATAAAGCACGTCTCATATATTAATAATCCTAATATTAATATAACAGTAGTATTGGTTTAATTCATTATAAATACCTGTATTTAAGTGAATTGTGATACAAGCTCTACATTACATAATATGTTATACTAAATATTTATATAATATATATAATATCGACTTTCAATAACGATTGACTAATAATACAATACTATTCATACAATTATGCATTAAAAATATGTTATGAATTATAATTTATGAACAGTGATCTTGCCAATGCCATTGTAGCATTTACAAGTACTGTACTGTAATAGGTGTAACTTTACTTATGATAGATTACAGTGTGATTTAATTGATCACAATTAAAGTATTTGTAATAATACTTATTGTATTAATATATTAATTAAAGTAATTGAATAATAATTGATAGTTTGGAGAGGAATGGCATTACATTCTGCAGTGAAGGGCAAACTCATTGCTGTGATCGGCGATGAGGTATGTATGGAGGGGTGGGTTATATATGGGGCTATATATGGGGCTATATATACCAATTGGTATATTAATATTGATTGTGGTTAATGGTGTTAATGGTGTTTGTGTTGATTGTTTGATATATAGGACACTTGTGTTGGGTTTCTGTTGGGAGGCATCGGAGAGATGAACCGCCAGAAGAGTCCTCAACACAACTTCTTAGTGGTGGACAAGAATACGACCACAACAGACATTGAGGACACGTTTCGGGCGTTCCTCAAGAGGGATG